ATAAGCCAAGGACAGAGGCTCCCTGTTGCTGAAGTTGAAGATGATCTTCGTTGGAAGAGTGCCGATCTCCTCCAAAAAGCCTGTCTCCAGTGGTCGATCCAAGCCAAGAAAATCCAACCGAACCGAAAAAAAGAGAAGCCCGAACTGAATTGATCTTCAGTTATTTATAGAGGATTAAGGGGGTGAAACCGCCCCTTACAGAGGCTCTCTGTTGCTGAAGTTGAAGATGATCTTCGTTGGGAGATGATGCCGATCTCCTCAAAAGCCTCTCTCCAGTGGTCGATCCAAGCCAAGAAAATTCTAACCGGAAAGGGAAGAAAGAGAGGCCCGAACTGAATTGATCTTCAGTTATTTATAGAGGATTAAGGGGGTGAAACCGCCCCTTAAATCTCTCCTAAGTGGGGTGTAACCGCCCCCAAATCGTGGGAAACAGTTTTAGAAGCCCCCAAATCGTGGGCAACGGTTTTAGAACCGTTCAACTCATGTTGAATGAGTCAAACGCCCACGTTGGCGTTCAGGACCCTAACCTCACGTCTTAGGATTGAGACGCGAGGTTGGGTGTTGGCTGAACATTGATGAACGCGAGGGTCGCTCGCGTTTTGGTTTGTTGTAGCTTAGAAACACGGGGGTCGGTGTTGGCCGGACCCCTACGAACGCGAGGGTCGCTCACGTTTCGCCTGTTGTAACGCGGGGTTCGACCCTGGTGTTTTGATGTTGAAACGCGGGGTTCGACCCTGGCGTTTTGATGTTGTAACGCGGGGTTCGACCCTGGCGTTTTGATGTTGAAACACGGGGAGGACCTCCGCGTCTTGCCTTACAGAGATTATCACCAAGTAATCTCTTGTTGCAAAGATCATTGTCTTGTAATCTTCGTCTTGGCTCCTTGAGAATATGAGAGTCGTCAGATTGTAACTCCCGATGTTGATTGTGAAGGCTGTAGAGCTCTCATTGGTTGTCGTGAAGGTCGTCAGATTGTAACCTTTAGCGATCTACGTGAAAGTCTTCAAATTACAGCCTTCTGGAAGTCGTCAGATTGTAACTTCCATCATCGGTGTTTGAAAGTCTTCAAATTACAGCCTTCTGGAAGTCGTCAGATTGTAACTTCCATCATCGGTGTTTGATGGAGGATAAGCTATCAGATTGTAACTTCCATCATCGGTGTTTGATGGAGGATAAGCTATCTATTGTGATTTTTAGACAGCCTACAATATACACGTAATAAGTTTACTTTTGTGCGAAGCGAACAAAACTTGACAAATTTCTTATGTTGCATCTGTAGAAAATTGCAAATTTTGATGTAAATATAATTTTTTTACAATCATTCAAAATGAACCAAATTTATCAAAATTTATGTATTATAATAGATAAAATTTGTAAAATCTAATGTACACATAATAAATTTACTATCACTCTGTTAAACCCTAAAAATTTGAATATTTTGTGATAAATAATAATAAATATGTTATATATTTATAAATAACATATTATGATGTTTTAGTATGCTATGAATTGATTTGAGATCAATTTAATATATATATGTATATATATAAGAGCAAATGCACAAATCATGCTCGATGTATAAATCTGAAAATTTATGACCAGTGGAGAGATTTTGTATTTTACACACTGATACGTTGTGAATATGGAAAAATTTAAAAGACCAAAGTTGTAGATATCTTCAGCATATTTCCAACAAATCTTTAATCACCTTAATTTGAGATCGTATGTGAAAGTTACAGCCAAAATACCGAAGAGTATGTTTCTAGTCAGACTGGGTTTTCCAGTTTCAGGTTTCGGGTTTTGGGCTGTAGTTTTTTGGGTTTGCTGTCATATATACACATGTTTAAACATGAAAACACCTCTTTTCTCCTATGTTCTAAACCCTAGCAGCCTCTTTTCCCCTCTCTCAAACCCTAGTTCTTTTCTTTGGCGATTTTGAGGGATTTCGGAGGATTTTTTAACGGGTTTTGTGCAGTGCAGCGAAGGGGATTGGTTCTTTTTCACATGGTAGGAATTTTTTAGCATCTGAGATGAGTAACATCTCGCCCAACTCTGCACCCTTTTATTTTGCATGTTTTATTAAGTTTTATTCGGATTTTCGAGCCTAAAACGTATTTTCAGTGTACAAAATATAGATCTTTAAAACTTATAAAGTGAGAATACATTATCATAATTTTCTAATTGATTACAACAATAACCTTGACAAATTTTAGATATGAAATTTATTAATCATGAATTAAATCACAAGTTTTTGCTTTTAAAACGTTTAAACATGTGTATATAAATGTTTAGGATTTCGATGATATATATACATGCTAATATTTCGTTTCATGTTATTTCATATATGTTGATATCAGTAATATTATGCTTGGAAAATAATAATGTCACTTCTAGATTTGTTTCGAAGCAGACAGAAACCTGTGAATGGTTTCTGCCTGTTTCAGTTGATCGCCGGCACAGTTTGTGCATGTTTACTTTTGTTGTGTGCTTTAATGTGAACGAGGAGTTACCTCGAATATTTGGCATTAGAAATTATTGCTTATTATGTATCTTCACATGTGAGATGGTTTCCGGACATGAGTTTAGATTTGCACACCGAGACACATGTGAAATTAGTGTATATGCATCCTTTTCATATATCTCATCGACATTCTACACATTTTATTCAGTCCATGTGTTGGGCAATTATTATGTGCAGTCCATGTGTTGGACATTCATCATATTTGGTCCATGTGTTGGACATTCATTATATTCAGTCCATGTGTTGGACATTCATCATTCAGTCCATGTGTTAGACAATTCATATATGCAGTCCATGTGTTGGGCATCCACTACACCTAGTCTTAGTTCATGTGTTGGACACCTGTTTAAACCTTGAGTATGACAACCTTGAGTATGATACTTACACTTACATAGGCTGGACATGACACTTATGTGGGTTTTGACATGACATGGTATTTGAGTTCTGAGATGGGTTAGTCTTCTTTATATTATTGTTCATGTATTAGATCTTGGGTTTGATATTTAGGGATTTATAATTTGAGATACAAGGTATATACATGAGAGTTTCTTAAACACTAAAATCCTTTTATTGTTAGGATCAATGATTTTATGTATATATGTATTAACTGTATTTTCTAAATGCAACGAGCCATCTCCCTTGGGGTTGGTTGTGATATTGCTCGCTAGCTCTTTGACGCTCGTTGTCCCCTCTAATTTTAGGTAACGAGGCAGGTGCACGGAGAGTCGTAGGTTGATGGCGATAGTTATTAGCGTCCATCTTTCATTTGTAGTTTTATTTTATTTATGGAGCTCCACTATAGATATTTGAGAGTTATGTTCTAGAAGTTATTAAGGCTATGTGACTTATTTTTTTTATTAGATATTCTGTATTTGAGACTTGTTGAGATCTCCAAACTAGTTATTTCAGAGATTCACTTTATATTTTTGTATGTTGGATGATGAAATATTATTTTCATCTCTATTATTTCATCATATATCTCTTGTATTATCTTTTACTTGCTTTTGTACCTATACTTGTTGTTGACTCTACTAGAGAGATAGTAATTATGATGGTGAAATCTTTTACTTGCTTTTGTACCTATACTTGTTGTTGACTCTACTAGAGAGATAGTAATTATGATGGTGAAGCATGTTATTGTACGGTGTGGTCCATGTCAAACCTGCCATGTACTACACCTTGCAATAACATGTTTCAGCATCACAATTACTATCTATCTAGTAGAATCAATAACATGTGTAGATACAAAACAGGCTAGAGAAAATATACAGAAGAAATACTAAACGACGAATATTCTAAAGAAATCATCACCACTGAAATAAATAGACCAATCTCTGAGAGAAATAACATCTGACTGGATACAAGTGTCTCGACATAGGAAATCAAATAAAATGATATTTAGGCACATTGCCTTTACAAAACTAGAATAATAACTCAAATATTCATAAACACATCTACTGTGGAGTTTTGACATAAACTACTAACAATATAGATAAATAACTGCTAGAGTAACTCCATCAACCTACGGCTCTCCATGCACCTGGCTCGTTACCTGAAAAAGGGGAAACAACAAGCGTCAAGCGCTAGCGAGTAACATCTCAACCAACCCTAGGAGGAAGGGCTAGAAGAAAAAGAAAAAAAATAGTTGTTAATACATATAGATAGTCAATCATCTACTTTAAAATAAAATGGAGGTTTGATATTTAGAAATTTACAACACGAGCATATGTATGTCTCCCGTTAGCTCAAATTATAAATAGCTAAATACCAAATCCAAAAAAAACTACAACATGGAGCAATAAAGAAATATAGCTCAATCTCCAACCATAATATCAATGACCTATCAGATGTCAAATACGTGCCCAACTCGTGGACTGAAATAGGTAAATATCCAATACATGAACTGCAAAAGCTTAAAGTCCAACACGAGGACTTCAATGGATTATAGTCCAACACGAGAACTTCAATGGATTATAGTCCAACTCGAGGACTTTAATGAATTATAGTCCAACACGAGGACTTCTGTTAGTAAAATGAGTATATCTTTCTCTAGGAAAACTAGTTTTAGGAAAGGTTTTCTGTTTTAAAATCTAGACTCATGCATCTTTCATTTTCTCTGGGAAAGGTTTTCTCTAGGAAAACTATTTTTAAAGGTTTTCTGTTTCAAAAATTTTTGCTAATGGATTGAAATGATTAAAATTGCCCAAAATTAGGGGTGGGAAACCAACGAATCAAACCGAGGATCACAATATTCAAATTCGAATTTGGTTCATATTTGATGTTTAAATTCTTGTTCGAATTCGACTCGGGTACTAAGTTGAATTCGAATTCTTTTCGTTTATCTACACAACCATTTGCTAATTATTCATTGGTATTCGATTAAGCATCCTCAGAATCTTATCGTCATACTTGGAGAGAGCTTCCGCATGTCGACGCGGAGTGAAACCTCGGAAGCGATGTCCTCATCGCCAGCGCCTTCTAATCAACACCTCGCCCCGTCATCTCTGAAGAGAGCTTCCATTCGTCGATGCGGAAGAATCGTGAAAGCTCAAAAGTGATGTCCTCGTCGCCAGCACCTTCTAATCAACGGCCCACGCCGTCGAGCGCGAGATGAAGAGAAGGAGGTGCGAGCTGCTGTCGAGGAATTATTCGGAGCAGAAAGAAAACCCTTAGCTTGTTGAGTTATAGTTTGGGTTATATGGGCCTAGAATTGGAAGAGTATGTTAAAACGGGCCTAAAGTAGCAACTGATCTGTTGGGTCCAGACTACTAATTACGTACACGATAGCCCAGCCTACTACCTTATTTACATGGATTTAAATGTGTAGAACAAAAGTTTTGTAATGAATGAAATTCGTAACAAATAATATAATTTATATAAGATAAGTTATAAAATATAAAAGAACAGTTAATAATCAACCGAATCGAATATAAATTTGGTTAAATTTTATTTGTTTATAAGCCAAATACTAAAAACTATTTTTTCGGTATAAAATGAATTAACATATCGAATATGATTGATTATCTAGATGAATATTAATCGTACTATTTATTAATTATTTGGTTGACTTCCACCCTAACCAAAATTCATGGGTTACACCTCATGAAATTGTGAATTTTGACATCCGTAAAATTATTTGCCAATGTGTCCAAGTGACTAAAACTGGCCAAATATCGTATGTTATCGGTAATAAAATCATGAATTTTGGACACCGTAAAATTTTTCACCTTGGGTTGAAATGAATAAAAATGGAGAAAAATTATGGTTATAGCCCATGAAAACTTAAATTTTAGACTCCATGAAATTATGTCTATGAGTTGAAATGACTAAAAATTACCAAAAATCATGGTATAGCTCATAAGATCAGTAATTTTGGCGATTGTGAAAGTATTCATCTAGTTTGTCAAAAAGATAAAAATGAAAAAAATCGTGGGTTAGAGCTCATGAAAATATGAAGTTTGGACTCCGCAAAATTATTTGCTAATTGGTCAAAAAGACTAAACATGATCAACTATTGTGGGTAACAGCTTATGAAATTGTGATTCTTTGATTCCGCAAAATTATTTGATAATGTGTCGAAATGACTAAAAACGACCCAAAACGTATGTTGTAGCTCCTGAAATCGATAATTTTAGACTCTGTGAAATTTTTTTCCTTAAAATGAAATGAAAAAAAATGTATAAAAATCATGGTTATAACTCATGAAAACATGAATTTTAGACACTATGAAATTATCGGCCCAATAAGTCAAAATAACTTGCTAAAAACAATGTGTTATAGCTCATGAATCCTTGAATTTTGGCCTCCACGAAATTGTTTGTCAATGGATCAAAATGATAAAAAATGGCCAAAAACTATGGATTATAGTTCATAAATCATGAATCTTAGCCTCTGCAAAATTATTTATCAATGTGTCAAAATTACTAAAAATGATAAAAAATCATGAATTTTGGACTATGAAATCATGAATTTTAGACAGTGAATTTTTTTCCTTTGGGTCAAAATAAATAAAAATAGATAAAAATTATGAATTATAGCTCATGAAAATATTAATTTTAGACTTCACAAAATTAATTGACAATGGATTGAAATACCTAAAAATTGTAAAAAAATTGTGGGTTGTAGCTCACAAAATCTAGAATTTGTTCACTGTGAAATTATTTGTCCAATTGGTCGAAATGATTAAAAATGGATAATAATCATGAGCTATAGGTCACAAAATCATGAATTCTTATCATCATGAAATTATTTATCCAATTGGCCAAAACGATTAAAAATAACCAAATATCGTAGGTTATAACTCATGAAATTGTGAATTATGGATTCTGTGAAATTTTATCCCTTAGTGCCAAATTTTAAAAAATGAAAAAAATCATGCATCGTAGATCATGAAAATATGAATTTTTGACTCCGTAAAATTATTTACCAATGAGTCAAAATGACTAAAAATGGTCAAAAATCATGTGTTATAGCTCACAAAACATAGAATTTCGGCAATCGTGGCAAAATTATTTACATAATTGGTTCAAATGACTTAAAATGACCAAAAATCATGGATTATAGCTTATAAAATTGTTAATTTTTATAATCGTAATTTTTTTGCTAATGAGTTGAAATGACTAAAATGGCAAAACCTCGAGGGGTTATAGCTAATGAAATTGTGAATTTTAGATTATGTAAACTTTTTTTCCTTGGGTTGAAGTGAATGACAATTAACAAAACCATGGATTATAGCTTATGAAAATATAATTTTTTATCTCCGAAAAATTATTTACCAATGTGTCGAAATGACTAAAAATTGACCTAAAATCTTGTGCTACAATTCACAAAATTGTGAATGTTAAACTCTGCGAAAATTTTCCCTTGGGTTAAAATAAATAAAAATGAACAAAAATCATGGGTTATAGTTCATGACAACATGAATTTTTAACTCCGCAAAATTATTTTTTAAAGTGTTGAAACAACTAAAAATAGCTAAAAATCGTGGATTACAATACACTAAATCATGAATTTGGAACTCTACAAAATGTTTTTCTTTGGGACAAAATGAACAAAAATGAACAAAAATCATGGGTTAGAGCTTATAAAAATATGAATTTTGGATTCCGCCAAATTATTTGCCAATGGGCCAAAACGACTAAAAAACATCAAAAGTCATGAGTTAAAACTCAAGTAATCTAGATTTTTTGCCACCACAAAATTATTTATCAAATTGGTTTATAGCTCACGAAATCATGAACTTTGGCAACTATAAATTTTTTTCCTTTTAGGTCAATATGAATGAAAATTGACAAAAATCATGGTTATAGCTCATGAAAACATGAATTCTAAATTTCATGAAATTATTTACAAATGATTTAAAATAACTAAAAATGGCCAAAGTTGTGGGTTATAACTCATGAAATTAGGAATTTCGGCCACCACAAAATTATGTATTCAATTCATTGAAATGACTAAAAATGGCTAAATAAGTTATAGCTCATGAAAGTGTCAAAGTTTGACTCTGAAATTTTTATCTTGGGTCAAAAGGAATGAAAATGATCAAAATCATGATTTATTGTAATGAAAACATGAATTTTGGACTCCACAAAATTATTTGCCAATGGGTAAAAATAGCCAAAAAAACATGGTTATAGCTCATAAAATTTAGAATTTTGACAACAGTGAAATTATTTATCTAATTGCTTGAAATGACATAAAAAATGTCACCTATAATTTTTGTCCATTTGTCATCATTCTGACTTTTTGGCAATTAATTTCACGAAGTCTAAAATTCACAATTTCATGAGCTCTATTCCACTATTTTTTCCATTTTTAGTCATTTCAACCCATTAGCAAATAATTTTATGGAGTCTAACATTCACAATTTCATGAGCTACCTAACCCATAATTTTTTTATCATTTTTAGTCATTTCGGCCTATTGGTAAATAATTTTAAAAAGTCTGAAATTCAAATTATGATGAGCTATAGCCCATGTGTTTTCACTATTTTAGTCATTTTGATCCATTGACAAATAATTTCACAAAGTACAATATTCATGATTTCTTAAGTTATTACCCATAATTTTTTACCTTTTTATTCATTTTGACATATTGATAAATAATTTTGTGTAGTCTAAAATTTATGATTTTATGAGCTATAACCCATGTTTTTTGCCATTTTTATTTGTTTCAACGCACTAACAAATAATAAGAGTCCAAATTTTACAATTTCATGATATTTTACCCATGATTTTTGGCAATTTTTTGTCGTTTCAATCCATTAGCAAAAATTTTTGCAGTCCAAAATTCTTTCATGAGCTATAACCCACAATTGTTTACTATTTTTATTTGATTAGACTCATTCACAGATTATTTCGCAGTCCAATATCCACAACTTCATGAATTCTAAGCCTATAACCCACGATTTCCATCTATTTTTAATCGTTTCTACACATTAGCAAATAATTTAACAGAGTATGAAATTCATGATTTCATGTGTCATAACCCACGATTTTTTGACCAATTTTAGTCACGACGACCCTTTGGCAAATAATTTCATTGAGTCCAAAATTCACAATTTCATAAGCTATTATCCACAATTTTTTTGCTATTTCTTTTATTTCAATCCATTAGCAAATAATTTCGCGAAGTCCAATTCATGACTTTATAAACTTTCATTCCTTTCTAACCCATTAAAAGATAATTACGCAGACTCTGAAATTTACAATTTCATGAGCTATAAAATGTTCCGTTGTCATACAAGTGAGAAGAACTGAAATATTTACAAGTTTTCTTTATGAATTGACAAGTCATTCAATCAGTTGAGCCCAGAGGTCGTCCACCCTGCATAATAGTTCTGAGCGTTGTGATAATCAAACAAGTTATATTATCACGATCCATTCTGAGCAGTTACCTTTTTTACTACAGATAATAATAATGCAGAAGAAGAAGAAGAACGACAGGTGGGCATAAAAAGAGGTCCTTACTCCATTGCTCTTAAGTTTGTTATAACAACTATAAGTGTTTATTCATACCCTTTCACTGAAAACTTTTCAAAAACAGTTTTAAGTCGTAACAAGAATCACGAATGTGATTCGCTCGAGTCAATTGTTTTTCGGCCGAGTTGCCGAGCTCATCCCCGGAAACTTATTCACCCCTGGCATACAGACTGGACAATATTTCAAGCAGCAACTTTCTTTGAAGTCACTGAATTGACTATGGTAGCAAACTCTGGACCCTGCAACAAAAACAGAAAGAATACAGTACATGTTAAAGACAAATTAGTCTGGCTATTCTATACAAGTAAATGTCAAATAATTTGGCCATTTAGAATCCAATATGAATCCAGTAAATTCCCCGGTTGAAAGTATCCAATGATATCATTTCGTGCGGTTTCAACAACATTCTTGGAGATCAATTGTAATGAAATTTGAAGCAGTTTTATCTGATGGTACCTTCAGAGAAGCACCTCCAACAAGGAATCCATCTATATCTTCTTGCTTTGCAAGCTCAGCACAATTGCTTCCATTCACTGAACCTGTAAACAGATATCTCTGAATGTTAAAAACAATATAAACAACCTTGTTAAGAGGTTCAACCACAAACTTCCATAGCTCAGTAATATAGCATATTCCAGGGACTTGTAATAAGCCTTGTGAACAACTAAGTCTGACATGAGCAATTTTTCTTTCTTTCAAGAGTTCAAACCTGACAGAGAATTCCTCTGGTATTCTTTACAAAAAAAATATAAGCAAGCATGTTCTGTAAGCTAGCGTTCGATTAAAAGACTGCAAACAAAAGAATTCGAAGAAGATAGCTCATTTGGAAAAGTGAACATAGGAAGAAATGAATACATAAACCATTAAAGCATCTTCTCAACCTTGATGTCAGAAGTTCCAACTTTATACCATGCATCACAAAATATATTAATTGGCCACTTTTAATCATAAAAGTGTTACACAACTATATTCAAGTGGGTTGGCTAGGTGCAATCCACATAAATCTGGAAAGGCTTGATAAACCACCAAATGGATGCAAAGGGATCTCAGGAATGGGTAGAGATCCTCTACATCCTTCCTTGTAGAGAAACTCTACAATTCACCAATTAAATATCCTCACTCGGTGGACCCCGTGAATGCTATAATTATCTAAACTATGTAAGAAAAACATTTCAATTGTGGGACCCACTGAGATAAACCAATAACATTGGTCCATGTAACTAATTGTAGGCTTTCGCTACAATCAAGATTGTTGAGAATCCAGACCCCTCAGAAGTTTGAACAAAGCATTTAAAGAATGGAGTCACATACAAAGTTAGAAAGATGTGACAAAATAAATAACTTATCCTATGATAGGATTAGAAAGTAGTGGGACGCAGTTACCTCCATAAATAATACGTGTTGTAGAAGCAACTTCAGCTGAGATGTTGTTCTTGAGCCAGTCACGAACAGCAACATGCACTTCCTGAGCCTGCTGTGGCGTAGCTACTTTGCCCGTGCCAATTGCCCATACAGGCTCATAGGCAATAACAACATCGGTCCAACTTGTTATATTATCTGAATGAAGTGATAATTGAAAAGATATAAAGAATCATATCAGAGATCATTACTCTAGTTTTCAATCAGTTTAGTTTCTGAAAAAATTCCCCGCTGAAACATTACCTGCAAAAGCTTTCATCTGCTGGAAGCAGACATCAAATGTTTTTCCGGATTCTCTTTCTTCTAACTTCTCTCCTATACAGGCAATGACCTTAAGATTCTGACTCAGAGCATATGCAGCTTTGTTTCCAATGAACTGAACATGGACAAAAGATTTACAGTGCCAAACTAAGTGAAACTCTACATAAGCCTTCTTTTCTTTAAATAGAAGAACAAAGCCTTGTTCATCATTACAAAAAGATGAATAACATTTCTCAACCTAGTACCTGATCATCTTCGCCAATAACATGTCTGCGCTCAGAATGACCAAGAATAACCCACTTGCAGCCAATATCTATAAGTTGCTCCACACTGGATATTTCCCCAGACAGAAACATTAGTAACTTGCAAAAAATACACGGCTCACATCAGCCAAAAAAAATTCAAGTACAATTCTATGCGAAAGAATATAAAAGTACCAAATGAAAACACAAACAATCTGCATAATGAGGAATTTGTACAAAACAGTCTGAAATGTTGGAGAATTAGATAGTTTGATTATAATTGTGGGATCCACTCTTCATGGTCAAATACATGACTAGTCAGTAATTCTTGTTTGAAGTATTCCTATGGATGCAATGATCCACAGCTCACCTAGCCAAACATAAAAATCAAATAAAGGTAATACATCATATAAAAAGATACCAAAGTACCATAGGACAAGAAATAAGCTGCACGATGAAGAATTTGAATGGGATACATGAAAACAGCCAGAAAGTTGGAGCACTTGATTTTTCTTCGTTAGTATTCTCATGGTTTTATACATAAGTTTCAGTAATAGATGTTTGAAATCTTGATATGAGGTTCACATTCCATTAGCCTAACTTCCACTCTTTAGTTCCATTTACTTAATATAAGTAATTATTCTATTATGTTTTATGTTAACTGAAACTAAGACTTTTAAAGTTAACTTCTACTCAGAAAAAAATTTGTTATGATACTCAAAGCAAGAGAAACCTGAAACTAACTGAAAGCATGTTCCAACAACATTAGTGCCTCAAGGAAATGTCACGACAAATTCAAATGTGTGAATCCCACTGTACTCGTCCGTTTATATTATTATAACTGCCATCAGAAAATATTTAAAGATAACCTGATCTCTCCTGTGAATGCTCCACCCTTTCCAACCCAAGAATTCTGAGCAGATATTTCAATACGATCAGTCAATGAATTCTTCACCTGATCAATATAAACAAAGGGAGGTGCAACAACAACATCTGCACATTCACCATAAACAAAAATTTAAGGACTATATTATACATATCAAGAAGCAACCACAAAAAAAGTAATATCTAAAACCTCGTGCATGAGAACATTTTCCACAAAGGTACTAATGAGGAACACATAATGATAACCATTCAGTGTTATGAAACTAGTAAGAGCGTAGTAATATAATAAGCAGAATGTGCCACACTTTGTATTCCTGCTATTGGCTTAGCAATGACAAGCGGAGAGGTAGCTCTATATGTGACAACATTTTACGTTAAGTGTTGGGATAGTAACAACGATGTACATATCAAATCAGCTGATTTTTATTCAAAAGTTACTCACAGAATTCCTTGACAATTCCGCAAGTGAATTTTAATGTTATGTGAACACATACTGACGCCACAAAGCCTTTTCCACTTGGCACATTTATTTAGAAAAATTTATGGAATTAACAATCATGATTTTCCTCTATGTGTATACCTTACCTTCCATGATCCACTTATTGGAGGATGCTAAAAACAAGAAACTATTTGCTTGTATGACTAAGTAAAATATAGGACAGCTTCCAGAAAACAAAATGTGTCTTATCATCAAGTTTAAAGAAAACATAAAAGAAAGCTGTAAGGATATAAATTTGATGGTGTTTGACTCGAATGAATAATCAAACAACGGATTACTATCAGTTTACAGTAGGCTGGATGTCTTACTAGTCAACTAGTCAGTTGTCTAGTCAAAGTTACGCTCGCTGTTGAGTTTGTAGTTGCATTTGAACAACGAACCAGTCAAGCAGTTCGTCATCCATCCCAGACCGACCTAATGATTAGAGTTATGTTCTCACAGTTTTGACTGCAGTTCTCATAATCATTTGGATTGTTATGGCACAAGAAGTTTTAATAGATATTCTATATCTCTATTGCTATGGAAGGAGTGTAAATAGTCCCATAATCAAATAGTTCTCAAGAGGAGATATAAGTACACCATGGGATCCAGGTAAGTACGGGAAAGAGAAAAAGATCAAGTAGAGATTACCTGATGTTAACATCTTAAGATCAATGGAGAGAAGATCCAACTCATCATAGGGCGATATTCACCAAAAATGATGCTCTTCATCAAGAGTTAAGGTATTAACAAGTTAATTCTAATAGTTAGTGTTATGTCAATCATAAGGGAGAGACAATATTTCAAGTGGAGATTATGAAACAAAATATGCAAAGGCCATGGAAAATTTTAAAATGAAGCAGGAAACAATATCAAATGGACCATTATTAATATAGAAATTTGGATATTGATGAATAAGGAAATACTTAATAACTTAATCCGAAGGTCAAAAATGATGATAATAGGTTTCTCAAAGGAAGCCGCTATGGGGAAAGATATTTGTGCCTTGTTGCCCATTTCTTTATCTAATATGCACATTACAAGGGTTATGTATATGCGCATGGACATGAGCACACACCTCAACAAGTACCTATCTATTTGCATGTCCAGACAAAAGGCAAATTCAGCAACAATCTTGATGCTATAGTAGACATAGTTAAGTAAGACGAAAGCTGAAGAATATTGTAGAAAGAAGAAATAAGCATCTTACCCACATCATTTTCCATCTTAGCACCATTCAAGTCAGAGACGAGTTTATTAATAGAATCTTTTGTGCCATTCTGATGAAAACAAATATAGCAAATTCTGATAAGCAAAAATAAAAAGACAGGGAAGAAAAGGAGAGAAGGCCTACATCAGAGTATAAATTCCTACGAGAAAGTATATAACAATATGCAGAAGTGGGGAAAAAGAGAAGAAAATAAAAGCTTCAAAAGGTACTAATTTCAAGGTGAAGTGAATTATGGGAAGCATCATTTTAAAATGAGCAGAGAAAAATAAGAACTCAAATTGCTCATATAGTAAAAGGTTAACAAGAATATTCATACAGCCAATGGACAAGTGTGCTATAAGATTATCTTTACTAAACTACAAACCCAAATGAATGGTATATGAAAAAGGGGGGGGGGTGGGGGGGGGGATAACTTAGTAGTTAGTACTCATTACAAGAATATTCATTGCAGCCCATAAACTAATGATCTACACCATTCATATTGATCCACACATCAGAAACCATCTGTGGTTAACAAAAATGTGGTTTGGAGATTTTGGAAAAAATTATCTAAGAGTTGCAAAATGAATAAATAAAATAAAAAAGGAGACACCATTAGATTGACGCGTAAAAGCTTTCAAACTACTTTTTTTCACATAAATTTTCTGACGCTCATCTATTTGGATGAGTCATCACCGTCAAAGGTTCCATATTTTTGTACCCATCGATCAGATCACTGCATCACATACTAGCCGATATTGTGAATGCCTGGTATCCACAATTATGTTGAAAGAGACATGGTCAAAATTGTCAACTATGCAACAGAATCGCTATACATAAAAGAAATGTAATGCGAGTTCATTGATAACTCATACTTACACATTTCCAGTTGCCTCCAACAAAAAACTGCAAGCACAGGGAACAGTAAGAATTAGAAAAACAAAATACACGTAAATCAAAAGAAATTACATAACAAGAAAATTTTAAATATACTATCATTATTCATTATCATTCACTTGTTTACATATAATCCTCAAAGAAAAAAAAATCACATGTCAATTCTTGACAAATTGGGTCTAAAGTTTTCACCTTTCCCGATCCAGCCATGGCAACAACGCCTCTGGGACCTCTAATCGAAGAACAAAGGCGGATCTTTGACTGAACACCCTCAAAAAAGAGACCGTTCGATGAAGAAGAAGGAGAGATAGAGAACGAGCGGCGAAGCCCAGAGAACTGCTGCGATGCTAGAGAAGAAGCGGAGGGCCCCGCCGTTTGTGCTGCTGCTGCCGCCGCCGGCCGCCGCGCCATTGCTCAGCTCGTTTCGAACAAGAGAGAGAAAATAGAGGGGGGAGAGAAAAAAAGGAGCTTTCTTTGGTTGTTGGATCACTTTTTTTCGGGGGTTTTCTGGTACAGATGACTCGAAGAGGGGATAACACGGGCCGGCTTTCTTGATCACACAAGGGGTAGGTGGTACAGTGAATCTGATGTACATCGAGTGATGCCGTGCATCGCAGAATAAGGAATCAGAGGAGCAATCCTGACCTTCAATCTGGATTTCGATAGCAAACTATTTTTATATTACTAGATAAAAGACTTTATTAGTCACTTTTGATTGCAAATAGATTTCAAAAAAATAATAATAATAACTTGATGCATGTTTGAATTTTCTAGTCTACTTAATTATTATTCTCTTTCAGAATGTAAATGAGAACTTATCTATGTCTGGTTTGGATTTTTCTAAATCAAAATGGCATTAAATATTATCTAAAAACATGGAACCATCGGACAAGCTAGCAAAATTGGGTTTTTAAAGTTTTCAGCATGTGTATCTCTCTCTCTCTCTCTCATCTTCTAACAAATGCTGATGGGCATTCCTAAAAAAATATACATTAAGAATGACACGATAATAGAATATGGATTACGTATTTGATATATCGAATCCAGCCAACTCGTGCGTGATGTCCTACTCTTAGTTTATAACCTACCAATTTTTTGGATGAAGCAATTTTGGGATTGGTCTAGAGTATTTTGATCAAATCCAACCTACTTGCAGCTATAGTCTCCTGAGTATGGTTTTTCCCATTGAAGTAGATAGATCAAATCAACTTATCAACTCTTCTATGGAAACACGTATATGATGATTAAAAACTAATTTAGTACTTTTATATTTATCTTTTACTATACTATGATGATCCCAACTACTCATTAAAACATTTTTAACTGCCACAATGTGGCATATATAGTTACTCTCAAGTAACACCCCATTAAATTGACTTCAAACCATTTTAAATTTGTTACATATGTTCATTATGAATTTATGGATTTAGACGGTTAGTCGGTTTCAATATATGTTTTCGGTGAAAGTCGCTGTTTTCATTGCTTTGGAATCTGTTACAACTTCAATCGTTACAACAGGATTAAAATGAAACAAAAGGTTAAGCACTTTTGTCGAAAATAACACGAGTCCGCGTTTTGGTGCGGTCTCGCTTGCGTGGGTCTTTGGCTGTGAACGGGGATGTGATATCCGTGGACCCCGGGCGGGGCATAGATCCGGTCCGGATAACGAAAGAGTTTCGTTCGATCGCGTTGAGATCTTAAAACTTTAATCCAGAATATTCGACAGAAATTCGTCGATCACGCGGTGAGATCTAGAAGTTCTAACGCATATACCTCGGGCTACAAGCGAGGTAATAGCTCTTCTAGTATCACGGCTAAGGCTAATACTAAGGACAGGATGAGTAACGGGTGATGAACGGCTGATTAGACCTCTCTCCCTGGGTAATGAAAGTGATCGATCAAGTGTTTGCCTGCAGCACGGGCTCGCCGAGGCGCTCTTCCAAAAACCAGATCCTCCAAGACGGTAAGGGGTCTATTATAGAAAACAAGAGGGGAGGGTCTCGCACAGAGTCTAAGGACACCCCAGGGGTGTCCGCACAGATCGTGGGACACCTTGGGGTCGCAAAAATCCGAGACCCCTAGCGGTTGTCTCGGAAATTCCGAGAACCCTTGGGGTTTCGGAATTCCGAGAGCACCCCGGGGGTGTCTCGGAAAATCCGGTCAGACACTTGCGTGTCTCGGAATTCCGAGACACCCGTAGGGGTGTCTCGGCTTTCGGAACACCCCTAGGGTGTCTCGGATTTTCCGAGAGCACCTAGAGTGTCTCGAATTCCGAGGACACCCCTGGGCTGTCCTCGGAACTTTCTGAGCACACGCCTTGGGGTGTTTCGGGATTCCGAGACGTCCGGTAGGTGCGTTTTGATCGTTTTCCGTAGATTCTCTTCATACGAACTTCGGATTTGAGTGTTCGGGTTGCGTTGGACACGTGACGGAAGAGTTCGATGCCGGCTCTGATGGTTGGATTGTCTTTAGAGTGGGTCCGAGGCACGGAGGTGTTGTCGCTTTTTGTGAAGCATGCGGGCTTTCCGCGTTGGTGGCCGGGTCTTCGTGATTGCCGAAGTCGCCATCTGCTCGTCGATTCACTTCAATCGTTCATCGACGTCAATTAGGCTCATGTGGGCCGGATGATGATGTTCATTGTTGTTCGTTAACACTGAACCGGTTGTGGAGAACTATAGGCAATTTTCGATGCCTACATAAGCAATTTTCGATGCCTACACGCGGATAAGCAACCGTTTAAGGGATTGGAGAATTATTTCACCGATTCCCTTCTATACGGCGCTGAATCCGATACTGAATCGCCGGCCCAAGGAACGGACAGCGGAGATGAAGCTGACACCGAACCCGGGTTTGATTTTGACGAATAGCCGAGGTTCTTCCGGCGCTGCGTTTATCGTCTGGCCGTCGTTGGAGTCTCGAGCTTGCAGCTGATGAATTGAGTTTGGCTCGTGTCACTGAGTTGACTTTGAACTACCTCTGCCACATTATGCTGGCTTAGGTTTTTGGGTCACCGTGTGTTGACTTTTTGTCGCAACGCGTTGACCGGCGTTGACCTAGGGTTACGCGTTGACCGGCGTCCACCCTAGGGTTTTGGATCGTCATACGTTGACTTTTGTTGCGACGCGTTGACTGGCGTTGACCTAGGGTTACGCGTCGACCGGCGTCGCCCTTAGGGTTTTGGATCACCGTGTAGGGTTTTGGATCGTCAAACGTTCCACCCTAGGGTTTTGGATTGTCATACGTTGACTTTTGTTGCAACCCGTTGACTGGGGTTGACCTAGGGTTATGCGTCGACCGGCGTCGCCCTTAGGGTTTTGGATCGTCATACGTTGACTTTTGTTGCAACCCGTTGACTGGGGTTGACCTAGGGTTATGCGTTGACCGGCGTTGACCCTAGGGTTTTGAATCGTCACACGTTGATTGGTATGGATTTTCATCCTCAAACGTTGACTTTTGTTGCAACGCGTTGACTGGCGTTGACCTAGGGTTACGCGTTGACCGGCGTCCATCCTAGGGTTTTGATTTGTCAATGGTTGACTTTTGGAGTCCCTCAATATTCAACCATTGGTGAAGAATCAGAGTGTTTTGGGGTTTAAAAAAAACAATTTAGGGGTTCAAAACAGGTTCAGGGGGTCAAAACAGGTTCAAGACACCCCGGGGGTGTCCCGACAAAACCGGGACACCCTGGGGTGTCTCGGCTTTGCCGAGACAATGGGCCACCTTGGGGTGTCTCGGTTTTGCCGAGACACCCCATGGGGGTGTCTTGGTTTGTGTGGTCCCCCCCCTCTTTCTTTTCTTTGTTTGGCCTTTTCCTCTTTTGCTCATGGTCCCCTCCTCCCTTATTTTGAATTTCAAGAGAGAAACCTTTTCCCCCCAAAACCGAAATTCCCCTCTCCATTTCGGTTTTACTTCTTCTTCTTCCTCCAAGAGTCTTCTTCCATTATTTGCCTTTAAGAACCCATTACTCCCTCAAGAAAGCTTGGACTTTGGCGAATACCCATTAGCCGGAATCATTTTGGCAAAGGGGTTGTGTATGCACAATGCCTTGGGGGGTTTATGCAAAAGAGGCCATATGGCCGAATCTTTGGGGGTTTATTTGCAAAGTGGGACTGAAATTTTGAGGCTTGGATTTCATTCTCCTTTGGTAACAATTTGGATGGGTGTTTCATGCAAAAAGACCATACCTTATTGAGGGTTTTATGTGCAAATGTGGGGCCGAAAAGTTTTGGGGGCTTATTTGCAAAAGTGGCCGAAGAATTGGGGTGGTGTTCATGTAATAGAGGACTGAAGTTAGGACCTAAATTACATGTTCATTTGGCCACAAGCTTGAGGGGTATTTTAGGCAAGAGGACCAAAAGTTGTTGGAGGGGTTTATTTGCAAAACAGCCCATAAATGTCTTAGAGGGACTTATTTGCAAAAGGCAGTGAACTTATGGCTGAAATCCAATGAGTTTTGACCACGAACTCATGATCAAAATTTTGATAAGGCATGTGGAGCCCAAACCAAGATTTTGTAGAGGGGCTTTTATGCAAAATTGGCTGAATTCTGCAAAAGGGCTCATTTGCAAATTTTAACCAAAATTGTGGGGTACCGGGGTGTTATATGATCGAATGTGACGATCATGACCCGGGTCACGCGTGTCCTTGACCTAGATTTTGGCCTTGAACACAAAGGGTATTTTGGGTATTTCACCAAAATTCACCGTGACAGATGACAATCATCGTGTACGAAATTAGTAGGTTTAATTAGACTTCAATTATGAAATCCTATTTGTGTATAGGATTTTAATTAAAGTTCTTAATTTCCCTTTTAAATTTCGTATATTCATGTTTTAGATTGTACCTGACTTGCTGCTTTTCGTTGCAGATTTGCAATGTCTCCGCGTCGATCTCGTCCCCGGAGGAGCCGTTCTCGTTCACAGCATAGTGAGGAGGAGGTCCCCACGACATCCTCTCCCGCGGCTTCATTTTTCGGGGGTGAGAATTTATGCAGAGATTTTGTCTTACATCCCTGATTGACCTCTTTGCGGGTCATGAAGGAAGAACCGATACCTCTCTCGCGGAGGGTAAGGTTTCAGACTTGTTTTGCTTAGCCAATTCAAGTCTTCGGATATATTGGGGCGATTTTGTGTTGTCCTACACCTTATAGGTCGGTGTACGTTACCACGTTATTCACGTGATGACGCATGCCGTCCTTCTGGTGTAGGTCACTCAAAATCGTCTCTCCAATTATTCCGTGGATGAGTCTATCATTCTTCTTACGAGATGGATTTTCTGATTCCGCCCTTGTGCTTTATTGCAGTGGAATTTCCCGCGGGTAGCCTTCCTCCTCACGCCAACACCGGATGTAGTCGGGAGGTTTTCTCTTCCGCTACTCTTAGGCAGGCTGTTGGCCCACTTCCTCGGTTCGACGGGGATCGTCCAAATGACTCTTGCCGTTCGATACAGGAAGGAGGGCGCCATTGCTTGCGCCAACTTATCACAGATGCCTCCTTCACCCCTGATTCTACT